TAGACCAGGCCCAATAGAAATGCCCACAAGGATGATTTGGTTGGCACAAAAGTGCTTTGAAAAGGACAGTGAGTTCTGGAAGCACAAGAGGCTATGTGCATGTCATTGTTTGTCTAATAGGTCTAGAAATGGGGTGCATGGTGGCCTACCTGGTAAGATCAGCCGAAGATACCCAATGTAATATGACCATGCCAGCCCGTGGGCCACGTTGAAGTTCCCCTTTTCACAGACTGCAGAGACCTCAGCTGGGGACAGGTCCTACAGATGAAGGGGGGTGGGGGGGTGGGCAGATCTCCATGAAGGATGTCCAGGACCCTCTTCTCTGCCTCTCCCAAGAAGTCTTCCCACCCTACTGCCCACTCGCTCCCTTCTCTGACATCCCTGGAACCCGATGTTCCAGGACCTTCTAGGCTCTCCTCCAAGGACTCCAACCTTTCAACTAGACCCAGAGCTTGCCTGCCCCCACACCCAGGACTCAGCTCCTGGCAGGTGACCCTCCCTCTTCCACTATGTCATACCTGGAAGTTCAGGAAGATGTGCATTGTCTGTGAGAGGCCCAGGTGGGTAAGCATCTTAGCAAAAGCCAGGCCATTTTTGTTGAAGTGGGAGAAGTGGAGATAACAGGACAACAGCAAGATGAGTCCGTGGTGGCAAGACCAGCCCACACAGGCCTGCACAACCTTCCAGTAGCGGCCCTGGTACCTGCAGGGGACAGCCAAGCCCCAGATCCCAACCTAGCTCAGTCAGAGAAGCTCAAGGAGGGGCAGGGCGCCTCACGTGCCGGTGCCCAATCACCCCCACAAGGAGTGCCGAGAGTCACCTGGAGTGGACATGGCGCTGCTCCTCGGCCAGCAGGCACGCCTTCTTCATCAGGAGCCCCAGCTGCAGGGACACTAGGTGGAATGTCAGCCATGAAGCAGTGTGGTCTAATGGCTCCCCCAGACACCAAAGGAACACCAGACAGGTGCTCAGCAGGACCAGGGCTGCCATCTGGGTGCCACGACCCCTGGGCCGTGGGATGGACGGGTGCAGCCGGCTGGAGGGGGCCATCTGTGGATGCCAAGAAGCCCACACTCGTTCTCCAGCCTTCCAAGAACCAAGACCTTAGCTGGCACCTTCTCTCAGCTCCCCCTTTCCCTAGTGCCTACCCACATCCAGAGCCTGGCCTTGGGGACACCTGGGCATACACCATGCTGGAGCTGTTGTCCCGAAGAGGCCCGGAGAAAGCAGAGCAGGAGGAGATGCGTCCTTGTGCTCACACCTAGGCCTCCGTAGCCACAGTGACCCCACATGTGTGACGAGGAAGGAAGGCAGACGTGGCACAGACCCAGACCTGAAAGTGGCCTCTACCAGCCCCGCCAACCCAGGGATCCTTTGGACTTAGGATCCCCCTCAAAAAAAAGTCCCCTTCACGGGGATCTTAGACAGCAAAGTAGAGACCCAGCGTTAGGAGGTGAAGGCAGACTGCCAGAAGGAGCCGCTCACGTATCAGTTCCGGCCCTCCTTCCCCCGGGTCTTACCTCCAGCTTCTGAACACAGGTGGTTGCTGGAAAAATGACAGGAGGGACCACCAGTCTCCACAGCCCGCAAAGACCCCGGGCAGCTTCTCTAAGCAAATAACAGGGAACAGGAAAATAAATGTCTGTCTCTCACCAGACCGCAGCGCTGGGTGTGATGGGAGGGGGTGACACTTCCTGCTGCCAGAGAGGGAGGAGGAGCCCTCCCCACGGAATGCCCCGGGGGGCAGTGCCCAAGTCAATGAAGATGATGGGTGGGGCACAGGGCTTGATTCCCCTTTGCTACCCCCTGAGGCTGATCTGGGGTACAGCAACCGAGGGGCCTATGAGCCGTTTCTATTGACCATCGCCACTGCTTCCCTCACCAGTGAGGAAACATGCCGCAACTTAAGGCTAATTTCCATAGGTGCTATTTTCTGTAGATGCACCTCGGACTACTCCAAAACCAAGGGTGCAGAGACTCACTCACCCTCACCCTCACCCTCACCCTGACTGCTCCCTGCAACCCACGCCTCTCCAATCACCCACGCAAGAAGGACGTCCAGGACATAATACCAAAGGCAACACACACACACACACACACACACACACACACACACACACACGCTGTGATGCTGCCCTGCCTGATCATTTTTATTGCAATCTCCAGACACATTTTCTAAAGAAGATGACATCAGAAAAGGGACCCTGGTGGTGTCCTAGTCTAAGTGTTACACTCTTAGCCCCCCCACCACCCCCCTACCCCACCACTCCCACCCCCCGGCTGGCAGTTTAACCCCCCAGCCGCTGGGAGGGAGAAAGGGGAGCTGTCTGCCTGCAGGGTGATTTACAGAACTGACCTGTTGCTAGGGTGGGTATGACAACAGGAAAAAGGCGGGGAAATGAGCAAAGTCATTTCCTGTAAACTGAGCCTTTCAAGAACATAGCTTGCGTGCAACTGGCGACTTGCCGAGGAGTGGGCCTTTGGCTCTTACCGGAAGAGCCACTCCTGTGACTTCTCAGCGGGCACCCTCGCGGTGTCAGCCAAATCAGCTTGCACTCCGATATCCTACTACTAAAGTGCTTCCCTGCTCCGGACAATGTGCCACATGTTACCTGTATTTATTATTCCCCTTAATACTCTGGCAGCCACTTATAGCCCCATTATAAAGATGCGTAATCTGGGGTCTGGGAGGTGAAGAGCTTGTCCACAGTGCCACAGCTAGGAAGAGGGGCGGGGCGGGGGGAGAAGGGGCGCGGAAGGCAGGTGGGATTCTTTAAAGCCCAAACTGCTCTGTACCGCCGGTCCACGGAAGGAAGTGGAAGGCACCAGGACCACCTTTCATAGATGAAGCTTCCGTGGGGGGAAGGGTCTGGCTGCTCCCTGCCCATCTCGTAAGCTAACTCAAGGGCAAGAACAAGTTCAGGAGTGGAGCTGAGGTGGCACCCACAGACAAACAGGAGTTCATACCTGCCTAGGTCAGAAGGTCCTTGCCTGGACCCACCCCCAAATCATGACTCCCCACCGTTCACAGATGCCTCTGGTTTCCCAGAAGCAATGAGTCTTCCCGGAAAAAAACCCTTTCTGAAAATCATTCTCTACAAAGGGAGGGAATTTCCTATACTCCTGCTACCCTACAATTAGATCACCTAAAATGGACTTCCCGGAGAAACCTTTTTGGAAAATCAGTTCCTAAGAATGGCGGGAGTTCCCTACATTTGTGCTACCCTGCAGTTGTGTCCTGAAGTGGCTACGGACTCAGTTATTGTAATAAAAAAAATTTTTTTAAAGGCAAAGCTGCGCCGGAGGAGGACTGCGCAGAATCCTCCGGGAGCCTGCAGCCTCACGCCCGCCCATAGAACAGGTTAGGATGCACGAGGTTCTGCGCCTAACAAGGGTCTGGCGCCTGCGGGTCGTGTGGGGTGTGCGGCCCAGACCTCTGGACCCGGGAAGCTTCCGTGCAGCTGCCTGCGTGGCACTACCCTGCCGCAAGGGCACAGCTACACCCAGCAGCCAGTGACCGCCGAGAGCCTGCCGCTGCCCAGTACCAACTGACAACCCTAGGTTCCCCCATGGCTTGCCAGCCCAGCTGCCCACATGTCATGTCCCCCACACCAGCTCTTCCCTCCCCCAACCCCCACCGAAACTCTTCTCTGAGGGAAACATCAATTCGGAGGCCACTTTATAGCTGACTTGGCAATCCACTGCCAGGAACCGGTCAGAAGGGAATCATCAGACAAGGCCGCCAATGTGCTGATTTTCAGATGTCTGCTGGCAGGGCTGTTTATACTAAAGAAAAACTAAACAGGATGTCAGTACCCAACCACCAGGGACAGGTAGCTTAATCACGGTTCAACAGACCAGGCAGGGTTGGGGGGCCACTGTCGATGATGATGCAAATTTATATTGATTGACTCTTCAACATGCTTAGTATCTGTTTCTCGCTGAATCAAGCAGAGTAGAAAAGAGGATCGTTGCCTTTTAAAAATTGTCAACGCCTGTCAATACATTGACCTACGTGGAAAAGACAGGAAGGACACACGACAACATGCTCACAGTGGTTACTCTGCAGTGCATCTGAGTGATTTTTATCCCATTTCCCCCTTATTGCTCATTATGTTTTCTAGGGTTTTTCACATTGAACGTGAATTCAATAGTGTTGTTCAGAGAGAAAAATCATTCAATGGCACCTTGGCCTTGGAACCCCCTTCAGCTCCCCTCTGCTCTCTCCCCTCGGCCCCTTCTGCCTCTCCGCTGGGCTCATTGCCCTGGGTCTGAATCTGCTCTAGTGAAGACCTTGCAGGCACCGAATGTGCTGGGCTGGGTCCTGCAGGAAGAGTAAGATGTGGCCTTGCTGGTGAGGCAGAGAGACGGGGAGGGCATCTGGAGCCTGGCAAGTGGAGGGCCAGTTCCTGATCTGGCCTGGTCTGAGTGGAGCGAATGATTTTGTGACGTGGGAGAAGGCTGCTGAAGGAGCAGATAGCCCACTGACTGTGACTCCACACACCAGGCAGACGTTTCCTGACCCTTTTCTTCCATAGATGCCACACTCATTGTCCTGATGTCCTGCTGTGTTCAGGGCAGGGGACGGCACCGCTGTCAGGCCCTGCAGTCACAGAATGTATGGTTGGGCAGAGAAATGGGGATGACAGAACTGGACCGGTAGGTGCTAAGTAACTCTAAATCTGGCAAGGATTAAGAACGTGTTCTGGTTGTTACTCTGAGGTAATCCTGAAGGAGTGCCACTTAAACCAGGTTTGGGAAATGAATGGAAGGGACTAGAACTTTCCGGAAGGAGCAACCCATACCAAGGTACGAGGTGGGGAAGGAGGTTGGCCTGTGGAGGGACAGCAAGATGACAGGGGTGGCTGGAGCCTGTTAAGATGCTGAGGTTCTGCGGCATAACAAGGGCCTGGTGTGCACCTGCGGGCCTTGTGGATTGTAATGGCCCAGACAGCAGGGCCTGGGAAGCTTCCGTGCAGCTGCATGCGTGGGACTCTCCTGAACATCCAGGCAGATCAGCTGCACTGACAGGCAAGGGCCACTCAGCTGTTCTAGACTGACCATCTGGTCATCCAAGGAGGAAGCTGCGAGCCACAGAGGGAAGTTAGGACTGGGACCCAGACTGCCCTGCCCACGGGCTGGTGTCCTCATTCCAGTGCCACTGAGGACCACCACTCCGCTCCATGGCCTGTTCCTGGGGCCTCCTCCTAACTTCCCAGAAGTTACTTCTTTCTTCTGGACACCCTAGAAGTGCCGATCTGGGTTGGCTTTCTCTTCCAGTTCTAAGCTAACTACAACTTCCAGAAGTCTTCCTGCAAAGTAGTCACTGGTGTTTCTAAGCACTCATTCAGAGGATCTTTGTTCAGGGGCTATGAATGGGATGGGAAGGCCTATCACCACTAAGCCTCTACCCCTTGTCCACACAGGATCTGTGTCCCTAAATCTTAGAAGAGGAACATCGAGGGAATGCGAATACCAGCTGACTGACAGACCGGAGACCCAGTCTAGCTTGTTCCTCTTCTAGTATCTTAGTAGACATGCTGGGAACAGAAGAACCAGATGATGGCATGAATGGGGCAACGACTGTAGATGAGTTACTGTACATTAAAAGGAGCTATGGGGGTGCTCTGGAGGGAATGATGAAGTCAAAGAGCTGAACAGCAAATTTCAAAGGGTAGCTCAAGAAGGCAAAGTCAAATATTATAATGTGCCAAAAGACCTAGAGTTAGAAAACCAAAAAGGAAGAATAGGCTCAGCAGATCTTAAACGGCAAGAACTCAAGAAAAAATTCGAGCCTTGAGTTGCAGCACTGAAAGATTCTATGGACAAAATATTGAATGATGCAGGAGGCATCCAAAGAAGATGGAAAGCCTGCAGTCACTGCATCAAAAAGAACTAGTCGGCATTCCACCTTTTCAAGAGGCAGCATATGAGCGAGGACCATTGGTACTAGAGGCAGCATATGAGTGAGGACCATTGGTACTGAAGGAAGAAGCTCAAGCTATACTGCAAGCATCAGCCAATTTCATTCAGAAATTGATGAAATAACAATGGAAAAATGTCAACAACTTAATGAAGCACTTACTGGTCTTCCTTGAAACTAGCCACTGTCAGGAAACTTGGTAGACAGCTACTAGGCCAACTGACTGGAAGAGATCCATATTTATAACAATTCCAAAGAAAATTGACCCCAAAGAATGTTCAAATTATAGAATAATATCACATGCAAGTAAAATTTTGCTGATGACCATCCAACAACAGTTGCAGCAGTTCATTGACAGGGAACTGCCAGTTTACACTGGAGTCAGAAGAGGACATGGAACAAAGAATAGCATTGCTGTTATCAGATGGATCTTGGCTGAAAGCAGAAACTACCAGAGCAATGTTTACTTGTGTTTCACTGATTATGCCAACACAATCAACTGTGTGGGTCATAACAAACTATGGATAGTCTTGAGAAGAATGGGAATTCCCGAGCACCTTCCTTGTGCTTGTGTGGAACTTGTACATGGATCAAGAGGCAGCTGTGTGAACAGAACAAGGGAATACTGCATGGTTTAAAATCAGGAAAGGTACATGA